TGTGGCGGCCGGATCCGAACAGATCTAATGTCTCCCCTTCTTATTTTTTCCCGTCACCCAAGATTGGGAGCACCGGAAAACCGAGGCGGTGGTCGGAGGTGTGTGGCGGCCGGATCCGGACAGGTCTAATGTAGTATAATCTCCATCACCTCCGCCCATTTAATTTTTCTTTTTTCCCAAAGCTTCCCATATTTGTTCATAGTTCTAACTATAAATTTCCCAGATTTCCCCAATTCCTCAATTTAATTTTATGTGTAAGAAAGTTAATTTTTGTGGTAATAATGGTTGAAGGAGATGTATGAGGATTCACAGAAGGAAGTGAGGATTGAGGATCGGAAGAGAGTAGGCATAAGGGTAATATGGGAAAGTCAAAGACAATTTCAACTTTCCTTAAAGTGCGTGCCGGGTCAAACCGGGAACTTCTTTTTTGGACGGAGGGAGTATATAATAATAAGGGTGATGCTAAATCCACTCCCTAAATGACTATATACACACCTTTCACCAACTTTTTGCTAAATCCACACCAATATGAAAGTTATATTAATAGTTGTGGATTTAGCAAAATTAAGTGAAAGGTGTGGATATAGACATTTAGGAGAGTGGATTTAGCAACACCCTAATAATAATAATAATAATAATAATAATAATAATATTAATATTAATAATAACAACAACAACAACAACAAAACAACCCCCCACCCACCAACCCAATTTGAATGGGACTACATATAACATTCCAAATCACACGCAAGTGTGATTATAGCAAAACTCTATGGCTTCTCTTTCCCACGAGGCCACAAATGCTAACAGTGTCTGTACAGATGTAATAACAACAACAACAACCTAGTTGAATCCCACAAGAGTAGGGTCTGGGGAGGGTGTGTGTACGCTGGGGAGGGTGTGTGTACGCAGACCTTACCCCTACTCGAAAGTAGAGAGGCTGTTTCCAAAGAGACCCCCGGATCAACGTCGAAAGTTGCATTGCTTGACTAACTGCTACTTCATTAATTAAAGAAGTGCAGACAGTTTAGAGATCCATTTTGATTTATTCCATCATACCCCAAAGCCAAAAAATGGTGAAATTTTGGCTCCATCGGATGTAATAAGAATACTATATTTGTTCTTGAAAAAAACTGACCTTAGTATCAGCTGGTGCAATGCTAACAACCAAGCAACCCTTTTCCTGACTTGGCTCGGCAATGATTTCATGGTTACCATCCTTCAACTCTGACTGGGCATGCTTATGTTTGTTTTTTCTCCTCTTCCTATTGGATGTCTCCAGCTCTTTAGCAGTATTTTGTTTTCCATTGACAGAGATGGTAGTTTGCAACTCTTCGATAGGAATACCAAGCTCAGAAAGTGAATGTTCCAAAGAAAACTTTGTTTGAAGCTTAGCAATTTGTTGGGCATCAAGGGTCTGCCCCTTGGACTGCTTCACTTCAAGCATCTCAATCTGCTGCAGCTTCTTCCTCAACGCTCGGACCTGCTTTGAAACCCATTCTTTGTCCTCACAAGACTGCATAAAGTTGTCTAACTGTCTATCACCCTGTTTTCTACAAATTGATGCCTTCTTTTTCTTCCTACAGTCACGCGTTCTCAGAGATTCATTATCACTACTCTCTTCTCCATCGCTGTATAATATGGTCGGGAAGGGTGCCGTAGGGGTTGGAAGCCGATGATTACTCCATGGTTCGGATGACTTCAAGTCCAATAGTTTCTCTAGCCTGACAAGGATATCCAAAGATATATTGGCAATCGCTTGTCCTGAGACTACAAGGATATAATCAAGGTTCCGAATAACAATATCCTGTACCAAGTTTCACACGCCATCTCAGATACGAACTATTCATGATAGTTAGCCATAACAATGATCGTACATAGAAAGTTAGCATAGTCCAAATACAGAAAACAGATGAGTTTAATCATGTACTATCATGAAAACATCTGTATGCTTGTGTGGGGTGCTGAATCTATATTACAAGAAAGAATATATGGCTGTAAAGTAGGCATTCATTGTCTGTAATGTAAATTGGGTCTAACTCACCCAAAAAAGAATGTCAAGAGATGAAATTTGTCTCATACTTTTCTAACCATCTTTTGTATTCTATACTTGAGGAAAAATATTTTTAGCTTTTGTATTTCAAGAAATATTATATATACACTTTCTGCTCTGGTCTGTGTAAGGAAATTAGGAAAATATTCAATAAAATTAAAAAAACTTTCTTTGGCTCAAACATTTGATTCAGATATTAGTAATTTATTTTCCTAGTCCATTTAGTTTCTATGGCCTCTACTAGACTGTATTGTGTTATGTGGCAATCCATGCATCACAAATTGTTCCATACACATTAGTCATAACAGACGTGAAAACAACTTTAAAAAGAGGCTAAGATAAGTAATTTGACTAATTTCAATGATATCAAATATCAGTTTAATTCAGGACTAAGATCGCTAGTCTCAAACCACAAGCCTTGCATATACAGGCCGACAAGCCAAAGCCTTGTCGTTTAAACATGATGCTATTCAACCATTTTCCGAAAAAAAGAACAGAATGACCAGGACAACTTGCTATGGTCTTAGGCGGCCTTCAGCCGGTCTCGCCTAGAGTTAGAGCAAATTGTGAATAATCCAGCTCCATTATCCCAACCAATTACTCATATCCATAGTTTATAAGGCGTCGCCTAGGCGATAAGACGCTGTCACTTGGACGCCTTGCCTCCTCGCCATGCCTAAAAAACCTTAAGGCAATCAGGCGTCGCCTTACCTCGCCTTATCTCGCCTTGACGCCTCTGGCCACTTTAAACTTTTGAAAAACCCATTTTTTAGTGCAGCCCAATTATTTTGAAAGCCTAATTTAAAATGTTTAAACAGATATGACTTAAACTAATCTTCTCTCTCTTGGTCTTCTCTGTCCCGATCAGGCTTCCTTAAAATGTATAAGACCTATATATATATATATATATATATATATATATATATATATATATATATATATATATATATATATATATATATATATCTGGAACAAGCTTCAGATCCCAAAGATCAGCCTGTTTCTGTGGAAAGCTTTTAACAATATACTTCCTTTCCCGGAAAACTTAACCAGGTTTAACCTAGCGTTTCCTTCCCAATGCAGGTTCTGTTTCAACGGTCCGCAGGAACTCAACCATACCCTTTTTCATTGCCAAATGTCTTTCAAAATTTGGAGGTTCTTCTCTGCTGTTTTTAATGGCCCTATTCCTAATAGGGAAGAAACCCTACACGAGACATGCATGAAATGGTGGGTATGCACGCCTAGGACTAAGCTGCAAGATAAAATCAACTCGGTTCTACCAGGCTTCGTTGCATGGGGATTGTGGAAGGCTTACAACGAAGAGAAGTACGAGGGGAAAGCTTTCAAAGAAGGGAATATCATTGCAACAACAATTAAGACTATACAACAATGGATATGAATACACAATGGCAAGAAATGGATGCACCTGGATGAAACTTTGAAATCCTTAGGCTTTCGGTTGCACTTTAGCAGGAATAATTCTCAATGCATTTTTGTTTAGCTTTTTTTATTTGGTGGGGCAAATGCATCTCCCACATTGCTGTAATATATATATATATATATATATATATATACACACAGACACACACACACACACACACACACATATATATATATATGTATGCATATATACATATACATATATATATATATATATACACATATACATATACATATACATATATATATATACATATACATATACATATACATATACATATACATATATATATATATATGTTCTATATATATATATATATCTCTGTGTGTGTGTGTCGCCTAGGCGATATGAAGGTACATTGGCGCCTCGCCTCGTCTTGCCGCTTTACAAACTATGCTCATTTCGTCTTCAAGTTAGATTTTTCTCACAAAAGAGGTTACATCAAGATGACAACAAGACATAGCATTACAAAGGCTAGAGCAATTGTAAGTAACATTATGAGCTGTTGATCAAATTGGATGCCTAATTGATTTGTAGGAACCTAATCTCTTGAAAGAGTAACAAACAAGATGTGGTTGTCAAATCAAGAGTTGAAGAAGAATATTGTACAATGCCACTTGGAGCATTGAGATCATGTGGTTGAAACATGTTCAAGAATTCAAGTATGGAGCATATAGCCAAAATGAATTAAGTGTGATATTCATGCAGCAATACACATTGCGTCAAATGCAATATACCACAACAGAACAAAATAGAACATGTTGATGTTGATTGTCACTTTATCCTAGAACATATTATATCCGGAAACATTGTCACAGGGTATGTCAACTTCACAAAATCACTAAGGAGCCATTTGGATTGTGATTATAAATTATGACTCAAAAGAATGGACTCTGAGCATGATTTAAAATTAGTGATTTGACGTGATTGAGTTCAAAAAAGCTGTTCAAACTGTGATGATTATGCATGATTGATGTCTTTCCTTGACTCACCTTTTGTGTGTGTATGTGTGTGTGTGTGAGAGAGAGAACAGGGTGGAAGTGTGGGACTCATGGGAGTAAGGGAGTGGGAGGATGGGAGTGGATGGGGAGGGGTGATGAGGAAGAGGGT